GCTGAGGGAAGTGGGATATGGCCAAGCTGAATGTTTGGGGCTGTGGGATTGGAGCATGGGGGTGCTTGTGTTCAGACACTTGTGAAGACGCTAGGGAAAGGGTTTGCCTCGTTGCTCCTCCAGGAGCCCCAACAGTGTTTTGGGATTAGAAAAACACTCCAGATCAGTAACTGAGCAGTAATCTGCCCGGACTTCCCAGGGAAGCTCCCCAAGATCAGGGATGCAGAGATGTAGAGAGGAGGGAGGAAATGTGGATATCTGCAGGGAGGAGGTTTCTGTTAAATTCCCAGCCCACTAACATCACTCCAGGCACACTCTGTGCGCTAGTGGCAGTGACCTTGCAGCAGTCAGCACGCTCAGTCCCATACCCCCCATCTACAAAATAAGGCTCTGACAGGCCTTTTGCGTAGGGGTCCTCAAGGTCTGCAAGAGTTCTGGCAGCAGCTGAGTGCATGCGTGAGCTTGGGGTTGGAGAAATCGCTAAATCAAGCAGTTGACCCTGGACAGGGGGAGAAAATTCTTAAAGGGAGTATTGGCTGGAAAATAAAGGGAAGCTGCTGATGCTGGATCCTTCTGGGTATGAGGAAAGAAGGAGGGGGGCTGTGGGATGTTTTTCATTTGGGCAGGTGGAGGAGGAGAGACTGTCATGAATGTGGTGCCTGCAGTAGCAGTGGTGAGGACTGGAAGGGGCTGCCTAGGTGGCTGGGGACAGGGAATTAGGTTATGTACAAGTTGGGGCTTTCTCTCCTGCCACAGAAGACAGGAGTTTCACCACTCTTGGGGGTCTTGCTGGTGCTGGGAGGTATCATCCTGGATATATGGTTTGTGGATAACGTGCAATTTTTCAGCACCATGTAGATAATACAGTAACATCATCTTTTTGTGGGCCCCTTAGAAGTATCCCCAGGGCTGGTGGAAACAGATGTTTCTGGGTGGATGTGGAAACAGCAATGCTAGATGGCTCAACGTGAGGCAGCCGAGTCCTGCAGTCCTTGGGAGATAAAGGCTCACAGATAAACAGCCCACAGATAACCAATAAAGGCAACTACCCGAAGCAGCTGCTCTTCCTGGGCTGCCCTTTGGATTGACCTCCACTCCTGTTGTTTTCTCCCATCTGTAGGAAGATAAAGCAGGGGAGAGGTTTTTAAAAGTAAATAGTGGTCGAAGAAAATCCGATTGGAAAAGGATCAGCTTTGGCTCAGAGTCCATGAGCTTCAGTGCTCTAATTAGCACAGGGCTGAGGCTGGCGAGCCATGTAGGAGAGCACCCAGACCTGGAGGAGACCTCAGTTTCCTCTTCAGGTCTGTTGGCTGGTGACAGAGGGACTTGGACCCAGCTGCATTGGTGCTCCTGGGGCTGCTTTGGCTCAGCTCTGTTTGCAGCCCTGGGATTCGCAGTCAAGGGCTGCAGGAGAGCTGCTGAGCTGCGTGGCCTGGGACAGCTCTGCTCATGGCACTATCCATGAGCCCCAAGCATGGGAAAGGGCCCCTAGACAAGGAAAGGGAGAGAGGAGGAATGCAAGTCTGGAGAGGAGAAGCAGAAAATGCTGTAAGTTAATCAGGGCAGGATTAGCATGTCTTGATAAGCCAAGATGGGCCTGCAAGGCTTTGAATCCAAAGAGAGCAATAGCATATGGTTCCCGTGCTGTAGGATTTACTTGTATCTGCTTCCAAGCAGGGCTGCTCGCTCGCAGCAGTCCTCGCTGTTTCCAGTGCTAGCTGCAGCTGAGACTCCTGCCATCCTCTGGCCAGCAACACCGTGGCTCTCCACCACAATGCACACAGCTTCCCCAACACTGTGCAGGCTTTCTGGAGACTGGAGCTGACTGTGGAAGAATCTTTCGGGGTGGCCATAGTGTTTAGGTTGTGTGCGTGGGAGCAGGGGTCGGCGAGAAGCTCAAGGGAACAAGCCTACTGCTGTTAATCATTGCTCTTGGGAGGTCTCTGGCTCACACAATCTCTTGCTCTTTGTCTCTTGCTCTCCCACTCTCCAGCTGAAGATGAAACATTCTCTTTTAAATACAGTCCTGGAAAGCTGAGGGGAAACCAGTACAAGTCAATGATGACCAAAGAAGAACTCGAGGAAGAACAAAGGTAAGCTGAGTTTCCTTTTTCTTCTTCCCCAAGGCCATCTGGTTGGCATCCTCTTGAAGCAAGCTGGGTGTGTTCAGACCTTTCTCTCCCCAGACTACCTTGGTAGCCTTGGACTCAACATCTCATTGCACCATGGTCCAGACCTCTCCCACCCAGGAAGACATGAGAACAAATAAAGTCACACTGATTCAGGAGATGAAGACACTGTGGCCCTATATACCCTTGGAGCTGTCCAAGCTCCTTCTCTGGAATCTTAGACCAAATTTCCCAGCTGATGCAAGCTGGTGTCGTTCCCCTGATCCCATTAGTACCATGATGATTTACATCTGTTGAGGACCTGATCTCTAGCTACTTCCCCTCCCTTTAACCTGTGGATGGCCTCCAAACTGAGGACATGGGCATAGCTCAGAAATGCTGGAGCAAAGTGAGTGAGCGTGGAGCTTTAGAGTTCACTGTGATGGGGCTGAGACTGGGAACGTCCGTACCTAGGGCTGGCTCCTCAGCTGTAAGTGATGGTGGGGATTTGCCACGTAGTGGCCCTGGTAGAGAAGGAGAATTGTCCATCTTGCACTTTTTGCTAAAGTGTCCTCCTGACCTTGAGTCTTGCCTGAAGAAAGGAAGAGCCTGTCCTGTTACTGAAAACAAGCTTTCTAGCTAAAGATTTCCCAGCCTATAGAAAGGAAATCAAACCCAACCTTGCACCTTGAGATGCAAAGCACTATCCAAAACCAATCTGTGCTCTCAGTGTGAAGTCTCTGCCCCTGAGTGAAGAGAGTCCTTCAGCCCATGGGCACCCAGAGCCCATGCTAAACCAGAGACACCAAACCCTGCAGCCAAGGGCTTTGCCCTATGAGCAGGCTCTGTGGGAGGCTTCTCCATAGCAGGTGTGCGCAGCTCGTACCCCTTCCCTCTTGGGCGAGCTGCAGGGAACCGATTTTTCCAGTGGTGGCTCAAGGCAAGCCTGGGAGATGTTGTTCTCTCCGCTGCTGTCCCAAGGGCTGTAGGACTCAATTCTCTACCCAGTGGTGTGCAGCTCCTGGGATGATTTGGGGGAATTTGTCATCCCTTGCCTGTGATGCCATGGTTTGGGTACCACCACAACTGGTATGGTACAGAGACGGACTAAGTAGAAACTTGAGCGCAGCAGGGAAGGCAAGGATGGAGGGATTGCACCTTGCCCCTGGGTTACGTATGATCCTGCTGGCAAGCCTGGCCTCAAGGCCTCTGGGCAACATCTCCATGTTGCTGGTGGCTGGGCTGTCCAGGCTTTCTCTCCATGCTCTGTGGCATGGGCAGGGCACTGCAGTACACAGCATAAATCCAGAGACCTGCCCAAGGGCTGGCACTGACATGTCCTCACTCTGATACTGTGGGAGACTCAGGTGGTGGACAGGGCTCCATGGAGGCTGCCTTCTCTAGCTGAGCCTGCAGCCAACAGCTGTTTTCTCCATGTCAAACCTGACTTTCCCATCAAGAGATGTCTTCCCTTTTTCCCCTGGCTTCTGGGCTCCCAGTTGTTCTCAAATCTTGGGCTTCACCTGCCTTGTAGCACTGCCAGGAGTGAAGAACTGCAAGGGCTGTGTGCTCTGCGGTCAGCAACAGAAATGAGCTCTGGTTTCCTCTGGCAAGGGGTTGATTCTGCATTGGTGGCATCAGGAAAAATGTTTTTTGCTTTCTTCCTTTTGTTATATCTTTATCATGCCTGGAGCCCCCAGCCTGTAAAATGCTAAGCAGGTCTGTTAGCGTCATTGTATTTTTCACTTGGGGAGGGTGGTGGTGGAATGAACTGAGTGAATGTGAGTGAAACCCATGGGGATCAATGGGAATTGTTTTTCAGGATCCTGCTAAGCACTGATTGGGGGGCGGGAAGAAATCTACCTGTAGCAGGCAAATTCAAACTCTTTGTACCAGCTGCTCCATCCAAAACAGCTGAGCAATCGCTGCTCAGGTTTTCAGGGCCATGAGTCCTGTAGGGCCTTTGGCTGGTTCCTCTGTGGCAACAAATGCCCCTGCTGTCACCTGGGGGACTGGGGACACTAGGGGACATTGCCTATGGACAGCAGCGGGATGGTGGTTTTGTAACTCCGGACTGTAGAACTGGCTCCAGGGGCTGGTGGACCTTTCCTGGGACCTCCCAGGCATCGTTGATCATGTCCATCTGGAGTGGTCCCAGGGCAGGACAGTGCACCTAAGACTGACGGACAGTGCCTGGACATCAGGGTCCCTTGGAGGCTTTTAGCAGCGTTCTACTCTGAGGGCCATTGGCAGACATGTTTTTCCTACTGCTCCTTTATTTTCTCCTCTTCCATATTTGTGTTGTTCATTTCTTTAAGGCAGCTTTGTGAATTTCTTTTTTTGTCTTGCTTTGTTGCTGGCTTACTTTTTTCCCTCCAAATCTTCACTGCGGCATCAGCAGCTTTTCCTTTCAGGCCTTGCAGGTGGTGTAAGGGGGCAGGGCTCCTGCCAGGTAAGCTCCCGGGCGAGCTAAGCGCAGCGGCTCAGCCGAGTCCTGCACCCTTCTCCCTCGGCAGTTCCATCCCTCTCCCCGACTCCATGCACCCCAACTGTGCTGCTGATCTGCTGTGACCCAGGTTTGCCACCTTTATGTTGCAGGATTGAGCTGACCTCTGATCTCACATCTCTGTAGCAAGTACCTTAGGTCCTCGGCCACAAACATTCTTGCAAATCTTTTTGGTAAGGACACACTGTTTCTTAGAAGTAGTGGTACCACTGATAACATCTGCTAATGTGTTGGTTTTTTTGCTTTTGGGTCTCATTTTCTGGGGGAGGGCTTGTTTCTGAGCTGCAGTTGACTGCCTGTCCTACTTCCCCCACCCCCTCCCTCCCCCTTCCCTCCTCATAACAGATTAATGAGTCCGCTCCCCTCTACCTCCATCTTGCTTTCCACAAGCGCTCCGGGGGGAATGGGGGCTCTCATGTTTGGATGCTCACCTCTTCCATCTTGGATGCCTGAAGTTGGACATCCCACCACCACTTCTGTTTCCTGATTTGGAAAATTAGGGCTGCTGAGTGAGTGGGTAGTTAGTCCTAAGGTGTGTTGCCAAAGCTGAGATAGGCTTAGTCTTTTCGCCCTGTCAGCCTTCCACATTTCCCACAGACCAACAGGTTCCTGTATGAAGCAGCCTGTAAGCAACATCCTCAAAAATGCAAGTGGATCCCCCAGACCCCCTTGAGGCTACTTGTTGTGGTGATCAGTAGTCCACAAGTCTTAATTTGAGGACCTCTGATTTTGGAGGTGCCATTGAAAGAATTACTTGCCTTTTCCAGGAAGAACTATAGGACTTTAGACAGGAGAGGACAGGCATGCAGCAGATTGGGTTATTTAACCACAACCCCACTTCTGCTCTAACCTGCATCACTGCAGAAGCTGTGGCTGTCTTGCCTAGTATTCACTTGAGTATTGTGGCTTCAAACTGCTGCTAAATCTGGACTAAAAGGGGAAGGAATGTGACCTTTACTGAGTGATGCAACTTCCTGCTTCTGGTTACTTCAGTCTTAAAAAATAGTGAGACCTCTCAGTGAGGGAGGAGGACAGTAAATCTAGCTGGGAAATACATCTGCTCAGGTGGTGGATCTGCTGGATCACACCTGGTGGGTCACCAGTACTTCTAGAACAGAAAGAAGCATGTAGTGTTTGCTCCCCTGGGGGAGAAAAAATAGCCTGGGCAGGAAGGGGAAGAGTGCATGGGAAGGATGCAGCCCTTAGTCAAGCCAGCACAGCGTATTTCCCAAATCCTTCTCTTCTGCACCTGAGGCTTTTGGCCATCTATTGCCAGCTATAGCTGCCATGGTGCAAAGCACTGGTTCAGGCTGAGAAATATGACTTGTAGCAGTGTAGCTTGCCCCCATTCAGGCAGGGCTGAGTTGTGTAGGTATGAGACAGCCCACAAGGGCAGACTGTTAGGTGTTGCTGTCCTGGCAGATAAGGGAGGAAGAGGAAAGGCTCCCCAGTGTGCCTTCAGGGCCTAGCTTGCATGGATGGATTGAAGTGGTCTCTGCCAGCTGCTTTTCAAACCTTTCTTGAAGTTGAAAGAGGTTAGTGGGGTTTTTTTGCAGTTAGAAAGGAGTCTGATCAGGACTGTGATCATTGACAGCTGCAACAAGGTTCCACTCAAGGCAGAAGAGAAAACAATCAGGAGAAACAACTCCCTTGGGTCTCTGCTTTCAGTTCTCTCTTTCCATGAGGCAGAGCAGGTCCCAGCCAAGTATTGGTTGGCCTTGGTGATGCCGAGGGGTTGAGCTGTCTATGCTCTGGCCTTGCCACTCTTCGCTAGGTGTAATGGCTGGAGAAAGGAGAGCAGATTCCAAGTGACAGTCTGTGGAAAGGTCTCTCCTCTCTCTGTCCTCTCTCTTGTTTCTGGGGTTTAGGAAGAGGTGGGGGTGGAGAGCCAGAAGCTGCCCCATGGGGCCTCAGCTGGGGCACTCTTGCAGACCCCTTGAACAGGGTCTAAGTGAATGGCACCAAACTGCTCAGACACACTCTGCTGTTTGCTGGTGCACTCATGGGTGGAGCAGGTGATTCCCCAGACCACACTCCACCCTCTGTAAGACTGAGAAGAAGGTAGGGATGGCTTCCCAGTTTCCTTGGCTAATGGGCTCAGTTTCCACAGCCAGGTGACCCATTCCAAGAGCAAATTCTCCTCCCGCCTCCCAGACCTTTCCTCTCATCTCCTGGCCAGCCATGGGTGGCTTGAGGAGACACTACTTGAATCCAGGCTAGACTTAATGCTAGAGCTCAACTGCAAGCTGGAATTCATGCAAGGGGAAGTGGATAGCTGTAAGTCTCACACCCAGTCCTTTTCTTGGTGGTAATTTAGCAATGGTAACCTGTCTCCTCCCCAGCTAGGTTCAGAGTACCTCTTGGTTGTGAAGCACTAAATAAACTCAGGCTTAGACCCTGGAGTTTCAGCAAAGCAAGATACCCCGGATGGACCCTGGCTCTAGGGAATGGCAGAGAGGAGAGACCTTTCCCTGCTCTG